ATATGAAATACAGTAATACTTTCCTCAATCTCAAACCTGCACAAAAACTCTCAGCCACAGGCCACTGGTCAAACTCCCATTCTGTCTTATTCATTCTTCTCTGAGAGTATGCTGCTGTGTGTTTACCTTCCCCACAGCATCCAGTAATTATTATCACAGCCGAACCAGAGAAACAAGAGGTGAATGAATGGAGCAACTGAACAGGGCACATTTGGACTGAAATGAAAGAGAAATAAAAAACAAAAGCATGTTCATCACTTATCATGGTTTTACCATGGTAGTTACTATATGGTACTTTGTTGAGAATGTATTAAAGGGTTAGTTCACCCAAAAATGAGAATGAGGCTGTGTTTTACTCACCCCCGAGGTATCTCGAGGAGTTTGTCTTTACTATACACGTTAGATGTGATCCACCTCATAGTAACAATCCTGTCAGATCGTCCATCCTTTGAGTGAGAGTGTAACGTTACAGGTCGGCCGATCTGGTTTCATGGTTAAAGTTAAAATTTTTGACATGTTTCCATGTTGTCGTTGCTCAGCAAAAGCATGGACACGATGTTGCCTGGGGGTTTGGCAAAAGGAGAGTGGGACTGTGGGCGGTGCTCGGGGTGGTGACTGAAGGCAGTGACTGTGTAGTTCTGACGTCAACTTTTTACGGAAGTCACAACGGTTTGTGAAAAATAGCTAGAACTTTAAGCAGGCTGTGTGAATTTTACTGTGGACTGACTGTTTTGAAACTTATATGGTAGTTAAATAGCCCCTAGACCTCAGTAATCGTGAAAAAAGCCAGGAAATTTCAGTTTTGACAATATGGGACCTTTAAGGAAGATTAGGGTAAAAAAAATATTGTGACGTCAACCAAAAAGGTTTTAAAGAAAGATTTTTTTTTTTTGTCTTTGCACTTACTGTAGGAATCATTCTCAACATTGGGCCAGAAATATGTATTATTGTACTGAACATTTTTCTGATTTCATGCTGACTTTAAGCTAAAATTTTCTATAACAGTGCTGCAGTTTATTTTCTTCACAGTATAGACTTTCTTACACATAAACTACCACAACAAATACCACATTTACTATGCAAGAATGGCATTTTTGAGCTTACCACTTTAATTATCATCTTTACATCTTAAATTATCCCGAACTCCTACTTTCTATGTTTGTTCATACTCATAGATTTTTCTCTTTGTGAAGTCCCATGCTTTCCCATGTGGTTAGTTGCTGCGCTAGTCCTGGAATGCTACATTGACATACTGTACACTTAGCCGTCTAGCCAAGCTTTACATTCACACTCAACTGAACGTGTGCGAAGGAAACATTAGGGACTATTTAAAAAGCACTTTGAGGAGCAAATCCCTCTTGGCAACAAAGTTCAATTAAGCAAACAACCTCTGCTCGTTAACCCTGCCCCATGCCTCACAATAGATCGATAAGGTCATAAAATGTGTGCTAAAAACTAGCATGCGGTGCAGCGCCTCTCCTGTAGTTCCTGTATTGTTGACATAAAAATAACAAATTAAAGTCTGAAAGAGAGAAAGAAAGTGAAGCCCTGAACCTGCGAGATGATGATGGCACCTCTTTAGTCCTCCTGGTGCCTTTACTTTTAATTTGAGCATTAGTGCATGGTGTCTCTCTGGACCGCTGCACTTCTCTAGCTTAATTATTAAGAGTGCCGTCTAATGAACTGCAGGATTACTGAGGTGATAATCGCCGTCTTGGTAGGTGCATTAAGTCTTGTTCTATGTCATTGTGCTCTGAGGACAAGAATAGAGAATGGCAAATGGAGGAGGGGTAGAAAAGAGAAGAAAAGTGAAAGAAAAGCATATAAGAGAGACAAAGAAATAAAAGAAAAAGACTATCCGCTCTCTGCTGCATCTTCTGGGACACGACACCGTGCGGCTCACGCTCTCAGTGTGAAGGCAGTAACCTGTTAATATGGGAGCCGAAATTAACATGCGATGCTCACGCCCCACTCACGGAGCATGTGTTAAACAGGCCTAACATGCTAAAATTTGTCTAAAGTTTAAGTTACTCAATATTAACTTGTTTATAGAACTCTTGTATAAAAGCAAAACAGGCTTTTATCATGCCTATGGCAGAATCAAAGACATATTCAGCACAGCAGCTGTAAAAAGGATAGTTATTTATTATTTCATTTATTTTTATCTATTTATTTATTAATTTTATTTAATTTTATTTAAATTTTTGAATGCCATGTCAGCAGCAAGGCTATCTTAATTGCAAGAGCAAAGTAAATAACCGTCATACAATTAAAAAGACATTTAAGACAAAAATTCTAAAATACATTAAATATATCAGTTAAACATCGTTGTCTGTTAACATTAAAAAAGTGCAGTCCAGTAAAACTAGTTTGACAAGTGTAGGAGATTACTCTAAATCCTTAATAGATGAGCCATGTTCAAATATATTCCTTGGTGGAAGAATTGGTACACACTTTACAATAAGGATCAAGATCAATTCAATGCATTAGGTATTACAGACTAACAATTTTTACAGCATTTATTAATTTTAGGTAATTAAAAAAATTATTATTGTTCATTATTAATTCAAGTTTGTTCTTAATGAAATGTTATGTTAATTTTCTTAGCTTGAAATTTTAAAAATGTATATACAGAATTTATCACCTAGAATAATAAATGCTGTAAAAGTATTGTTTATCCTTTATTTCATGTTACTATATAGAGCCTAAAAAGTTTTACTAATATGTTTATTCCAATTTATAATAAAAAATATTATTATTACTATTTTAATATAAAATATTTTTAATTATTAATATATATCTCCTTGCAAGTTTTTAAGAGCAATAACCATCATGCTGTATTTGTGAACAAATACACAATAAGGCATTTTAAAAGAACACTTGACTCTAAACAAACGTCTTGAAAACTGATTATCTGCCAAATCTTGTTGTAATGTTGGACAGATGTCTTACACAAGACCATACACACTAAATGTAGGCCTAACATCTTCCAGCTGTAAATGCATATATCGAAAACATGTTTTGTTGACATACGTGGGTATCACAGGTAGCCCAAATGGACCTGAGTGTTGAGACCAAAAAAGGCAGAGCACTGCATATTTGCTTGTACAGACCGACCACAATATTTTATACACCTTCTGTTAACACCAGGTATTGTGCATGAGAGCACTTCAAAATACACGTATGTGACCCCGTTCTGCCACAGACTTTCACATTTGCCGTTAATCTATGTAGTGTGTGTGTCTGTGTAAAGGCCAGTGTTTGCCGTGTGTTTTACACACCGTGTGCCCTGTCAGAAAAAGGGGCCCCTCTGCGTGGGCTTGACATTTCAGCAGCCTGCCGTTGGCCCCTCCTGCGATCTTTGCACACACATGCGCTCAGAACTTCCCACGATGCCTCTCTTCGTTCCCACCCACCAGGGACACGCTCCGGTCTCATTTACCCATGAACCCCGGCGTTCCTTCCCCCATCCCGCCACGTCTTGCCACGGACGATTGTATTTTTGATGTCCAGAGGGGCAGTGCTCCGATTTATCATCTTTTAATGTGACATCTCACATTTATCACTCGAGTGTTAGAACACGCAACAGCCATCGAAAATGAGCTTCATTAGCTGGATATTGTGGCTGTAAGTACACCGGCTAATTAAATTCAAACAGACTCCGCCAACCAGAGAGGCAATTATATTATATGCACACAACATGATGAAGTATTCCTTGCTCTGTTAAAGAGGCAGCGCAGCATGCAAATATTTGTGTGTCGCTGACCCCTCTAGCGGTCTGACGGAGCCGGCCCGGGCATCGCGCTCTGTTTGATTGTGTTAATTTGGCTTTTTGAATAATATATCAGGCCTATATCACTTGTGCAATTAAGTACCGCCCGAGTCCTGACGATTACAGCCTGTGACGAGAACACCTTACTGTGCATTGATTTTTTTTTTATCTCATTGTTTAATCTCATCTTCAAGGCACTTTTGGGGATAGTAAGTGGAATTATAGCTATTCACTTTGAGGTAATAAATTGTTAACCTGCTAAATTCCTGCCCGTTGTCAAGTCAGATTGTCCCTATAGGTCACATTCTGAAATCTATCTCAGTAATGTTAGCTACAATCAGAATTGTGCACCATTCAGAATTCAACTGATATTGTCTTTTAAATTTCAACTCAGTTTCTAAATTTGAATTGAATTTGAATTGTGCTTGCAAACAGGATGCAAAATTGCAATTCATATTTGAATGTAAGAAAGTAAAAATTACAGTAACACTTTATTTTAGGGTATCTTAAGTAGTTGCTTATTAGCCTGCATATTACTAGAATATTAGCCATTTATTAGTACTAATTAAGCACATATTAATGCCTTATTCTACATCCCTAATCCTACACAATACCTAAACTTAACAACTACCTTACTAACTATTAATAAGCATCACATTAGGAATTTATTGAGGGAAAAGTCATAGTTAATGGTGAATAAGTGTTCCCTATTCTAAAGTGTTCTAAATTACAATAAATGGAAAGTAAATAAAACATTAAAGTTTGTTGAGACCAAATTTTAAAAGTTAATTACAGACAGAGAGAACAATAGATAGAATTATAGAACGACACAGACAGACAGACAGATAGATAGATAGTCTATCTAGATAGACAAAAGGATGCATACCGTATGTTTGTATTTAGTTATATATTTCATCCTATTTGAAAATAATAATTGTGTTCATAATTTCCTAGAATGCGTTACCTGTTCAAATAACAGATTTCAGTAAATTCCACTTCCTTTCATTTTAATTGAACTTTGTGTGTGGTAGCAAATTTAATTCAAATTCACACTCACAAAATGAATTCTTCAATAATGAATTTGGCATAACTCTTGTTTAAATAGTGTGAACGAAAGTGTGACTAGCTCATAAAGGACTGAAATAAAGAGTCCCTCACAGAATCAACAGTCACATAAAAAAGTAGAGCAAATAACAGCTCCTCTCTGCTTTCTTTTTTCCTCATACAGCAGTTTTGACAGGCGCTTAATGGCTTTTCCACAGCAGAGGGCCCCAGGAATGTGCAGGCTGGGCTCCGGGTAAAGTAGCGGCGCAGGACCGGGATGGCCACAGATGTCATGCTGCGGCCTCTCTGTCTCTTTTTCCACTCCATTGAGCTTGTTACAGCCGCTCTCCAAACGCACCCTGCCTCCACATCCTCTTCCGAACACGGCCCTCTCCGCGTGAGGCGGGAGCATGGGAGGCCGCTGGAAATGAGTTGTGAAAAAGGGCTCCCAGGGCTCACGTGAAGAGTGAAGGGAAAGAAAGAGGAGAGAATGACCCAGCACACCTGCAGGACGACCGGGCGCTTCGCTGTGCTCAGGCCCATCCAGTGGATCGGTGGTCATCTTGTCATGACTTTTGCCCTCGCCCCCTTCCGGCCACCCACCTGTCTCCCATCATGCCCTCCGTACGTCTCTGCTGGGCACCTCCCAAAATCAGCAGCACCTCTTGGGCACAGCCTCCCATTAAAGACATCTGTGCATAGGCGATGAGCAGATAAATCATTTTTGCAGAACAATTTTGATAAATGAGCTGTTCGCTTTGGAGTGCCTGTGCTTCTGCGCTCCTTTACCCCAGTGGTCCACGGTCTCTGTTTCCAACATGCTGCAGGCTTATTTTAAACCCATGTATACACGCACACACACACACACACATACACACATGCCAAAACCACCTCCTGCCAACAGCAAAGGTAGAGGAAGTTGGAAAGAGCTTTAAATAAGGAAATGTTTTGAGGCAAGTATTGCATTATTTGGCAAGTAATACTTCCAGTTAACATTAACAACCTAATTTAGACATAAATTAACACATTGGGGAGACTGGCTAGTTGCCACACTAGGAATTGGTCACCAGGGCTATATCTCAACTGTAAGGAGTCAAAAGTCTACACAACTGTGTGTTTCCTTTAACAGTGATATGTTGGCTTTACCCGCTTATTACAATATCATCTTACTTTTTAATGGGTAAACAAGGAACATAGTGATACCACTTTGGGATCCATTACCCCTGTCAAATATATAACAAAGATAGATTTTAACCAAAAAAATTCCAAAAAAAAAATCAGGTTGGAGGTTGTTTTATATGTTGCAATTTTAACATAATTTCTAATTACAATTTCTGCAATCCAAAACTTTTTTATTTTTTTACATTTTGCTGAATGTACAGAACATACATAAGTAGACTTTGAAAAAAATTTACTGAAGCATAAAGAGTGACAACTATCCCCAAGCTACCCTATGTAGAAAGAAATTTGAAAATGGTAAGAAACAGTGTAATGATGAAATAACAAAAATACATGAAATATGATTCAAAAATATTTTAATATTTTGTGTATGAATGCATTACACATCCATATTATTTTCATCTCAAAGGGATTGTAATAAAAGTATAATATTAGAGGAACTCATCTAATATTTCAAATGTTGTGAATGTTTTATTTAGCGTACATTTGTACCAGTGTCAGAAATTAACTTTTTTCTTAACAGACTGGAAATGATTTTCAGGGATATTTTATGCGGTTATGAGTGCAGATCTTTTCTAACATGTAACACACAGTATGTATCCACTTCTGTTAAATTAACTTTATTTTAATTATTTATTTTGCAATTACCCCTGTACTGGACCCACTTTATATTAAGTGGCCTTAACAACTATGTACTTACATTTAAATTAATAATTTGGTACAATGCATTTATTGTGTACATGCATGTTTTTACATTGTACTTCTATTTTAAAAATACCTGCATGTAATTACATCTGTAATTAATTTCTGTAATTACATTTATAATTACATAAAGAGTGACAACTATCCCCAAGCTACCCTATGTAGAAAGAAATTTGAAAATGGTAAGAAACAGTGTAATGATGAAATAACAAAAATACATGAAATATGATTCAAAAATATTTTAATATTTTGTGTATGAATGCATTACACATCCATATTATTTTCATCTCAAAGGGATTGTAATAAAAGTATAATATTAGAGGAACTCATCTAATATTTCAAATGTTGTGAATGTTTTATTTAGCGTACATTTGTACCAGTGTCAGAAATTAACTTTTTTCTTAACAGACTGGAAATGATTTTCAGGGATATTTTATGCGGTTATGAGTGCAGATCTTTTCTAACATGTAACACACAGTATGTATCCACTTCTGTTAAATTAACTTTATTTTAATTATTTATTTTGCAATTACCCCTGTACTGGACCCACTTTATATTAAGTGGCCTTAACAACTATGTACTTACATTTAAATTAATAATTTGGTACAATGCATTTATTGTGTACATGCATGTTTTTACATTGTACTTCTATTTTAAAAATACCTGCATGTAATTACATCTGTAATTAATTTCTGTAATTACATTTATAATTACACAGTTGACCCATCCCTTACACCTTAACCCACCCTTAAACCTATACATTCCAACAAACCTGTCCCTAACCTTACCCGTTTCCCACCTCAATAGCAGCAAAAGTGTTTTGCAATACAATATGAACACAATAAGTACATTGTACTTCATTTTTGATGTAAGTACATAGTAGTTAAGGCCACTTAATATAAAGTGGGGCCCCTGTACTTAACTACTGTAGATAGGCCTAAATAGAAAAAATATAATGAAATATCGGAAATATTTGATAACAAATAGGGGGCAGTTTTTTTTCTGGTTAAGTTTTGACACTGTGCTCTGTAACTTTTGTGCATAGTACAAAGAAATATAAGAGAAAGGCTGACAGTGATAACTCACCTTTCATTTTTCATTCAATTGACAACTCCACTGAGCATTAAATCACAGTCATAAACGTCTGAAAATGCAATTCAGTACACATAAATCATTTCAATCATCTTCTAAAACCTTAAGAACAAGATATTAGTCAACAAAGCAAAATAAAAACATTAAGAAAATGCATTTTTCCTGAAAAATCTCTCTAAAAGTTTTTCAGGCCTTTGAAGGTAGAAAGCAGCCAGCGCGGTGATTTAATGAAGTTGATGGCACACTTATGCATTTTAAATTACTGCTTTTCTTCACCAGTTCAATTATCCGGCACAATATAACAATCATAAAATAAATTAGGATTTGCGCTTGAGGGAATTAATAAGGTATATTTGATGTAATAAAATCAAACAAATATCTAATTAACCATAACGATTACACTATGGTTTACAATTTTTATTAGTCATTGTTAATGGAATAAATCATTAAGTACTGCACAAAGTCGAGAAGCACCGTACCACAAATTAAACCAGATTTTTTTTGTGATGTAAAATATATGTTATATATTTGGTGTCTGTGTGGAAAGTTGATTTCATGTCCTTGTGTGTGTGTGTATGTGTGCTGTTTTATATATATATATATATATACATATATATATAATTTTATATACATTTTATTGTATATGTATTATACAGCTACTTTACAAATAAATAAAAAATACATAAAATTTTTATTTGTGAGTGACACTACTGACATAAACTATCACACCTATATAAGACATTGGATGACAATAAAAAATAATATGAATTATTGTTTATAATATTAGTATCGATAATCTGCTAAATTAACTGAAATAATTGATTATAATATGTATAAATATGAAAGTAAACCTTTTCAAGAAAAACTGTTTTCTAAGCTCTAGGTTTAACACTACCTGCTCTAGGTAAAATACTCTATTACAGTGTTAAAGAATAATTAGCAACTTGGAGACTCACATATATGTATGACTCTCCATATAAGAATGGATCTGTGCTATAATATTACAAGTGTGTGTGTGTATGTGTGCTGTTTTATATATATATATATATATATATATATATACATATATATATATAATTTTATATACATTTTATTGTATATGCATTATACAGCTACTTTACAAATAAATAAAAAATACATACAATTTTTATTTGTGAGTGACACTACTGACATAAACTATCACACCTATATAAGACATTGGATGACAATAAAAAATAATATGAATTATTGTTTATAATATTAGTATCGATAATCTGCTAAATGAACTGAAATAATTGATTATAATATGTATAAATATGAAAGTAAACCTTTTCAAGAAAAACTGTTTTCTAAGCTCTAGGTTTAACACTACCTGCTCTAGGTAAAATACTCTATTACAGTGTTAAAGAATAATTAGCAACTTAGACTCACATATATGTATGACTCTCCATATAAGAATGGATCTGTGCTATAATATTACAGTCAATATTAATTAGGTGTGAAGTGTACTCTAGTATCCTCTGCTAACATTAGCATAGTATGATAAATAATTTGTGTGGATAAAACAACTTATTTATTATTAACTTCAATTTGTCATACGCACTAAAAGCCTCCAGTTTCTCACAAAAGCCACACATAGGAATTGATTTCACGGTAGCTAATGGTGTTAGAATTACAGGCATTAATACACAACACGTAACATATGGACCTGGTCACTTAGACAGGTGTCAGCAATTTAGAACAGCTAGACCCTATTTTTCATGCTCTACGGGTCTGAAACCGGGACGGCAAGAAGAACGCTCCGCATTTTCTAATGAAAGCGTAATGAGTCGATGTGCATACATCATGGACACACGTCGACAAGATGTCGGCCGTCCAGGCTCCATCTTCCACTCACAAATCATAAAGCGCGTCCAAACGCAAGCACACAAACATCCACGCACTTACACACACACAAAAACTCCATCAGTCTCCCAGGAGACCCATAGGAGTTCTCAGTACTATCCTGTCTCCCCTGACGATTCAGTTCACCAGGTGTTGTCTGCAACAGGCAATTAGTAGAATAGGTGTACCTGTCAATCACGGGGGCTGGAAGATTAGCTGCTTGCCCGTAATTAGCGGGTTAGAGGCTTCTTGGCCCAAAGGATAAAGGCTTTGCCAATAATGGGCCCTGGGGTATTAATTACTGAAGGTCGAAGCTGCAGTAAAGGCCAGGATCTTAGCAGCAAAGCACGTAAGATGATTGTTTAAATTTCAAAAATAATACTGGTCTGACAGTTGTTAGTGTCCCATGGGGTTGTGGGTACAAGGTAGCCGAGGTAATTAGTTTGAAGAGGAAAGGGCATGGTTGCAGGCGTGTTTGTGAAGAGCGAGAGAGAGAGAGAAAGAGAGAGTGAATGAGATAGGGAGCAGTCAGAAAAATGAAATAAGACAACGGCGAGGGAAAGTGTCGGGATGAAATGAAAGTAGACGCGGCGCATTTTTCCACCCCTACTTTAAACTGGCTGCCCACCCCTGTGGTCTCACTTACCGACTCTCTCACAGGCATCATAGCCATTGCTGCCGACCTACGGTGTGGCACGGGAGTGTGTGTACACCTTATGTGTGTGCGTGTGTGGGTAGGCGGACAGGCAGGCAGGGGGTAAGGGGCCTTATTAAAGTCCTAAAGATGGACTGACAGATGCTGAGAGGTGAGGAAAACAAAAGAAGCCACTCACCTCATGTCGGCGGCCGTGGAGCGGCAGATGCCAGTGAAAATAACCGCGGTGGAGGGGTTCAGCAAGAGTTCATTCGGAGGAGAGGTGATGAAGTGGACCTGCCACTGGCTTACTGGGCCCTGGAGGCCCCGGGGGCGGCCCTGTTTCTGCCTCCTCGTAACGGCATTAAAGCCACTGAGAACCACGGCCACATTTCACAGGCCTCCTGCGGTGGCCAGCGTCACAGGGGCGGACGTACTTCGGTACACATGTAAGCGGGCCGCGGATGAAGCGCTGTTCTAGATTAATGTGCCGTCCCGTTCTTGATAATGTTTGTGAGCAAAATTTACGACGCCGCTAAATGAAGACCCGAAATGAATGGAGGGGAAATCCCTGACCTGTCTCCAGATTTTAATATCCCACTCTGTCTATCGCCAGGTCACAACAGGACGCTTCATCTCACACTCGTGCACTGGCAGGGAAAATGACGGCCGTTACAGTGTGATTCACTCAAAGACAGGCTTGCAGCTTGGCGAACGAATGAGAACATGATCGACGGAGGCTGAG